TGTGTCCAAAAGGATTCAAACCATTCTGAAGAAGAATGCCAAGATGAAATAAGATGTGCTAAATGCCAGGAAAGCCATCCAGCATACTCAAGAATATGCGATTTCTGGAACAAAGGAAATGGAAATTGTCAAATTAAAATATAAAAGCTACCTAAGTAGCAGAACAAAAAGTGGAAAAACAAAAATTAAACTTTAAATCAAATAACGCAGAGAGCTATAACCTACTATTCACTAGAGAGGAACTAAATGAATATTTAAAGAAATCCCACAATATAGCTGTGGGACCAGATGTTATCCAGTATCAATTCATAAAACAGTTGCACAACAAATCATTACAACTGCTACTAAAATTGTATAACAACATATGGACAAGTGGCAACTTCCCAGATATATGAAAAGTTTACACAATGCCCCTATTCCAAAACCTGAAAAGGATGACACAGACCCTGAAAGCACCAAGGAGCTTCCTATGTAGAACTTTGGAGAGAATGGTCAACAGCAGGTTGACTTGGTACCTGGAAACTAATGTCCTAATCAATGACTACAAATGTGCTTTTAGGAAAAAAAGAAGTACCATTGATCACTTAATATACCTAGAAACCTTTGTAAGGGAAGCCTTCATTAAGAACATCTTGCGGCAGTCTTTTTTTAACTTAGAAAAGGCATACCTTACAACATGGAAGTTTATCTTGAAAGATCTGCATGAACTGGGTCTAAAAGAAAAGCTGATTCAATTCATAGGGTATTTTCTGAAAGGTCGGAAGTTTCAAGTCTTTATAGGAAGTACACTATTGAAACTGCAAGATCAAGAAGAAGGGGTTCCACAAGGAAGCATTCTTTCGGTGACACTTTTTTGTGGAAAAATTAACTCCGTATTTAAGACCCTAAGCCCAGGAGTGAGATGTGGTATATGTTGGTGATTTTCTAATTATGTACAGATCTCAACGTATGCATTTCACAAAAAAACAATGTCTCAATAAAATACACAAATGGGCTACTGGAAATGGGTTTACGTTTTTCATAACAAAAACCAAATACCTACATTTGTGTAAATTAAGAAAATTGCACAATGATCCATGTCTAAAATTAGATGGCGTAGAAGTTGCAGTAGTGGAACAACACAAGTTTTTAGGTATTTAATAAAAAATTAACATTCAATCCTCATGTAAAATATTTGAAAACAAAATGTAGCAAAGCCCTACAACTTCTGCATGTAGTGGCCCATACTGAATGGAGAGCAGATTGACTAACCATTAATCAAATTATAGAGATCACTACTTTGCTCTAAACTGGATTACGCTAGTTTCACATATGAGTTGGCTAGAAAGTTGTACCTAAAAATTCTCAATGCTACCGATCATCAAGGCCTCAGACTAGTATTTGGGGCTTACAGAACATCCCCAGTGGAGAGCATATACATAGAAGCTAATGAAACACTACATTTATGGTGAACTAAACTGGCACTACAGTATTATGTAAAACTAAAATCATATTTACAATAATACCTTTGAGTCGAATTACTGCAATCTATTCCAACAAAAGATAATGCTTTACAACCCTACGGACTCGGAATGAAATCTATTGCTGAAATGTTAGGCAACTCACTCTCAAATATACAAGAAACGACTGCAACCAGTGGTTTTCCACCATGGACTATCAAGCAACCCAGAGTTCTGCTAGAATTATATAATCTCCCAAAACAAAAATGCCCCCACTCACATTCCAGGATAAATTTCAGGACATATTGGCAAACTTCCCTAAACATACACCCATCTATATAGTCTGGTCAAAATGTGAGGACAAGATAGGAAGTACAGCAATGAGCCAAAATAATACTAAAAAAATGTGCCTCCCAAAGGGAAGCTCTATTTTCACTGCAGTCTCACACCTTTGAGCTAACTCTCAACATTATCTCAGAGAGCAAACAAAAATATTTTCTAATTTTTTCGGATTCACCATCTGTCTTATTGGCTTTAAAGGGGAAAAATCCAACAACCCACTTTTGAAAATATTATGCATAACAAGCACTATTAACAAGATTAAAGACGTCAAACTCTGCTGGATTCCTAGCCAAATCAGAGTTAAAGTTAATGAAGCAGACCTAGACTTTAGATGTGAATGTGGATACAAGGACCAAAATCCCATACACAGATTTTAAGGAGTTTATTAATAAATACGTTCAAAAGGAATGGCAAATGGTACTGGGACAATAATACACATAATAAACTCTTTGAAATTCAGCCCAAACTAGGAGAATGGAAGTCAGCTCCCAGAATATCTCATAAGGAAAATGTGGTACTGGCATGCATGTTCATTGGCCATATGAGAATAGCCCAACCAGTGTGCCAAGCATATAAAACAGCATATACTATTGAACATATATGAACCGAGTGCTCAGATCTTGCTCTAAACAATATGTATGAGATATTTAAGAACATGGATGATATCATTTCTCAAAACAGTAAGAGTCTACTAAAAATTATAAACCAAGTGAGAATGTCAAAATCAATTTCTCCACAAACCATGTATCTGAAAAGAATCCATCAATGAAAGCAGACTCTCAATAACAACCCTCTTTACAAAAGAATATCAATGAAACCAGATCTACAAATTTTTTCCTTACAAAGAATATATATTCTATTCATATGAATCTATTGTAAAAATATTGTCAACATTAAATAACCCATTGAGGTTGATATACTGTAAACCAAACCAAGCCAGATATCTCTAAACATGAAAATAATTGACCTCCATAGATTAAATGAAGGGGTCAGTTTGAAATTCCCTGTAAATTACCTGGATTGACAATCACCTGAAAAAAAAGGCTGGAAAGCTCAATGACTGCTGATAACAAGAAAAATGAGGACAAAATGTAAATAATGATAACTCCTCATGTCAGAAATTCAGAATTTGGATCCTACTAGATTGATAAATGTATTTGGTTTATAGTTTGGTTGAAATATGTGTAATAGATTTTATATCAAGAAGAATCGGACGACAATTTTGTTTCTTTATCTGCTGGACACTTAACAAGAAATTCAAATTTATTTATTTTTTACTTATTTTTCAAATTTTCATTCTCACCTTGTTTCCATTTCAGATACTATTCTCTGGCAACTGTTCTTTTATATCAAATAAGCTTACATTTAAAACCATTAAGAAATATGATAGTCATAGTTAAATAATTTTGCCATTGTATTGATTATACTTTCCATTTGAGGAACCCAAGATTTTGGTCTATACCATTAACTCTATTGTTGAATATAAAAAATAATCAATAAAAACATACCAAACAAACCTAATTACATGTGTGAAACTGATCCAAGTAATCTTTCCAACTCACAGTATCCCCATACAAGCAGCATCATGTTTAAAAAACAAACTGAACTATACTCTCTCACGCCATGATTTTCATGCACAGCTGATCTCACAAAAAAATTTGCATACATTCAGTCACTCTTGTGAATTCTCCTAGCTCTGAGACTGTGTCTTTCTTAAATTAAGGTATCAGGTCAGCCATATTTCTTCTTCCTTTCCTTTCATTCACTCATTTTGCACGCCAGGCATATATGTGCTTGCTTTGCCATATGCGATAAGTTGTCTTCTCTTCTACATTACAAAATAAAAATCAAAGGCAATCTACCACCAGCTTTATGTCCGCCTTTTTAGTAATGTTATGTTCCATTGTTAACATGAGCTATATACATTTATTATTCACTGCTACCATAACAGAATGTTTCATTACAAAGAAGGGAAGATCAGACTCAACAACTGATAAGTATATCAACACATTGTGTTTTATATTAGAGAATAAACTATGCAGATCACATCCTAAAAGCTGTGAGAATAAAAACAAACTAAAAAAAAAAAAAATATTCAACTTCCTTCTGTTCAACATTGAGTCAGAAGGAGGTGTGGTTTCTGTGCTTAAAAACCTGCAAGCAATTGTGCTTCAATATAAAAAAACTGAACTCAAAAAAACAAACAAAAAAAACATTGACAGCAATATTTAAGTAATTTTACATAATATAATTGAACTTATAAAATAATAAACTTGATGGGGCTCTGCACTTTTCTTGTTTATATTCAATACTTTGTGAATATGAAACTAAAATTAAAAGATATTGATCCTTTGCCTTTTCACCATGAAAATAATTTCTTGTATAAGTTTATTTATCTACAGAGCCAATTACAATTTAAGAATTTCTTTAACAATATTTCTTGTATAATTCTGTTGTGTCAGTAAAACACCTTAGCATTTAGTATTTTCAATTTTTAAATTTAAAATAAAGATGTAAAATAATTTTAAAAATAAGAGAAAAATTCTGCATTTGCATCATCATCAGAGTTTAGTACATGGAAATGAGTGAATTGTTTTATTAAACTGTGGCAATGAAAGAGAAAACCAAGTTTTACCCCGAAAAAGAATTTGCAATTTACCTCAGAAACTTAATATTGACCTCTTCTGGTGACATATATTGCAATTGTTTTTTTTTTTTTTTTTTTTTTTGTTTTTATATATATATATATATATATATATATATATATATATATATATATATATATATATAGATTTTATTATAATTAAAACAAAAAAAAGATTCTGGAAGTGTATTCTTGTTGTGCCTATAATGTGATCTTTGACCTCAAACAAAATTTGGCACTGAATATATACACCTGAAGACAGAGAATGGATAGTCTACAATGTTTTTAAATAGAAAAAAAAATTTATTGAAATTTAATTTCAAAATCTTTTGTCAAAACAATGTGTAATGTAGCTGATGCAATTGGTTAGTCTTTGACATCAGCTTTTCAGTTTTTTTAAAAAAAAGATTTAACATACTTTCAGTATTGCAACTACATTTCATCTGAGCCATTATTATTTGCTGGTACATACTTTAAAATAATTCTTTTTTTATGTGTCATAAAATTCTTTTGTATTAATTTTTATTGTTATATAACTGTCCATAATTTTATTTTATTTTTTTTTTCTCCTCCAGGGGACATAAAATTATTAAATCCAATTTTTGTCCATATACGATTACTACACAGAAGTCCCTCATTTAATAAACAAGATTATTACCAGGTTTTAGGAGTTTCAAGGAATGCTAACCAAAGTGAAATAAAGAAGGCCTATTATCAGGTATGCAGTCATATTTTGTTATCTACTGTTTAGATGTAGTTTTCTTTTCTATAATTCCTTCCTCACCAATTCTCTTTTCTTCTTTTTCCCATTCAAAGATCTCTGTAATCTGTAAATCTTCATGTATATTTTGTTTTCCATTTTACCTTGATGAGATCAAAACTAGAACTGGCACATAGTGATGAATAGATTATGCAAATTAACTGCAAATTAACTGCCAGTTTTCAAATTTTAAAATGTTGTCATCATGCCACACTAAATATCCAAATATTTCCAGTTCTATGTAACAGGCACAAATCTAGTTTCATAATATAATTTTATTCAATCTTTGTTTTAAAAATGTGACAAAGATTCCAATGATAAAATTAACTTTATACATGTGTTGTGCATTAACTGTGTATATATATATATATATATATATATAATATGTGTGTGTGTGTGTGTGTATTTATTTATTGAATTAATCAATTTCATAATATATATATATATATATATATATATATATGTGTGTATTTATTGTTGGAATTAATCAATTTCATAATATATATATATATATATATATATATATATATATATATATATATGTATGTGTATTGTTGGAATTAATCAATTTCATAATATATATATATGTGCGTGTATTGTTGGAATTAATCAATTTCATAATATATATGTATATATATATATATATATGTGTGTGTGTGTATTTATTGTTGGAATTAATCAATTTCATAATGTGTGTGTGTGTATTGTTGGAATTAATCAATTTCATAATATATATATATATATATATATATATGTTTTATGGTATGCCATATTTATGTGTTAAAGTGCTCAATATCATGGATAGAGCGTATATAAATATAAAAGTGGACATTGTGGTCAACACCCAGTGCTGACAGTCTGTTTCATGCTTAAACATAATTTTCAGGTTGTGTGTGTTGTTTCGGTTCAACTATTTATATATGCTACTCAGTGGTGCATTATCGGTAGAATATCTGTTGAATTATCCTAATGGTTATTTCATGTTTAAAATTATTTTAGAGACTATTGACTAGAAATAACTGTGGATCAAATTGAAGTTATTTGCAGCTATTTTATAGTGTTTATTATTTTTAAGTCAGTATTTATTATTGATTACTTTATTTGTTTATTATTATTACATTTACTTGTGTAGTTAATTTGTTTACTTATTTATTAATTTAGGATCATAAATCAGTAAATAACTGAAATAAATAACAAACAAAAAATTTAAAAAATAGAAAATTTAAGCATATAAGAAAACTGTTGCCTCTGGGAGTTAACTCAATGCTGACTTTTGTATTTATATATATATATATATATATATATATATATATATATTTATTTAAAAATATGATTCCAACTCGAGACATAAGAGGTCTCATGTTTCAAAACAAGAGCTGAAAACTTCAATATAATTATTTGAATTAAATTGAGTTAAAGTGAGCTCTGTTCCATCTTCAAATGAAATTTTTTTGGAATAACGTATTTCTGAAATTTAATAATTGAAATCAAAATTTCCATGGTAACAGCTAAGGCGAATTGTTTAAATTAGGTAGGCATGTGTTGGGTATTAATAAGTATCAGTATAGAGTTACTTTCATAGATGTCAAGTGGGGGTGTCTAAATTTGAAACTGAAGATGTATTCACCCTAGTCTGGTTGGCGTGTCTATGGAGATTTATTTACTTTTTATTTTATTTTATTTTTTTTTATGAAAGGGATTTGTGCATATGAAAAAACTTTTGTTTTTTGATGGCTTCATAAAGGGTTATCTTTTTTGTAGGGTATTTAAACTATTTATTTGGGCTATGAATTATGAAAGTTATTATATTGTATGCTTGTTTTTAGCTAATTATTCAAACCATGAATCTGATGATGTCTACAAAAAACCGTTAACTCATGTCTATTGTTTAATAGATTATTATTATTTAGAAGCATAATAATGTGTAATTTATCCTGGAGGCACAAAGGGCATGGATCATATATATATATATATATATATATATATATATATTACTTTAAACAATTTTTTAGTAGATACCCATATTTGATTGAAATGTCCTGTTTTTTTAAAGTGTTTATTTTGTCTACTGGTCTGCACATTTGAGAAGCAGATATAGCTTCAGGGTTGTGGAGTCAGAACACAAAACCTTTGACTCTGACTCCTCCATTTTTGCCACCTCCGACTCCTCTTTATGTAATTAAGTGATTATGGCCTACAAATCTCATAAAGCCTATGCATATGCTCGTAACTTGAGTAGGCCTATATCATTATAACTAGCTTATATCAAAGAATAAAGATATTGTGGCTTTTATATCATGCCTATTCATTCTTCCATATTTTTTTAACAGAATTAGAGACAAAATCTTTGAAAGGATATAGGAGAAATAACAATAAAAATAAAAATGATATATTTAAAAGATAGATATACAGAAAGTCTTACATTATAATGTAAGACTTTTTGTATATATCTTTGCAAATAAGAAATAATTACAGAACAAAAATAAAACAGGATATAAAAAGACAATAAAAATAAAAACTCTATAATGTAAGATTTTTTTTTTACATATATAGTTTTGTAAAAAAAATTACTACAAAAAAATAAAATGACTTTAAAAAAGAAGTTGAGATGAAATACTTTAAAGGAAAAATTAAATATACAGTAGAAATAAAATAAAAATACATTAATAACTCATATATATATATATATATATATATATATAGCAATATTATTTAATAATTCATATGGATAATTCCAAAGAGGTTATAGATCCAAAGAGAGCTTTGCAAAACCTGATACTTTGGTTTCATCTCATCAGACCAAAAAAGGCCAACAAAAACCCAAAAAAGAGATGTCTCTCTCTCTCTCTCTATCTATCTATATATATATATATATATACACACACACACACACATCTCTTTTTTTTTCTCCCCTTTCTCTTTCTTTCTTTTTCCCTCTCCCCATTTTGAATATATATTTTGAAACATAATTTATGTTTGAATATTTCGTTTTGTGCCTGGTAAAATTTTAAATCCATTTATTGTTGAAGCTGATTTTAGTCTGATGAGATGAAAGTGAAGTATCAGTTTTGCAAAATAAGATATTACCATGGGTTTCTAAAGTCTCTGCTTTCATAATGTGGCGGACATGAGACAGAACTTGGGACGAGCACAGCTGGTCGCGACTTGCCTTGTCCCCGCCAAAAAAGAGCCCGTATTTGCTTAGCATGTAAAGCTACTGCAGTTGAAATGAGGGAGAGAAAAAAGCACTTACCGCTCTGCCGTAATCCATCCTCGGCCAGATAACGTAAAAGAATGAGGGGAGACTGGCATTGCATTTTTATGCAATAACGATGCAATGCATTATGGGACATGGACGCAATGAATTATGGGATCACATGAAGGCGCAAGGGATTATGGGTACATGAACAACTATAAAAACAACTACTTTTTTCCGAGTTGGGGAGTTCTTCAGGACGTTCACGGTTGACGGCAAGAACGGGCAGTTAGTGTGATTTGGAGACAGAACTCAAGAAGGAACGACTCAAGTTTGAAATACCAGCTGGGAGAGCTTGAATTTACTCGCTGGTTACTGTTTTCTTCATTAAGCCTCAAGCTATTTCGCATATTGATTCTTCAAAATGGAAGGCAAGGTCTTTGATGTTCGTTTGATTCCAGAATTCAGCGGCGCCCCAAATCGGATATGCCCATTGTTGAATGGATAGAAAATGTGGAATTGGTCTCGAACTTTGTGCCATGGACAATATCGAATTATCTTGCCTTTTGCGACTTCGAAGGGTGCCCTTGCTGTGTATAGACAACTCAGTGGAGAGCAGAGGGCAGACGCGAACAAATTAAACGGGCCCTTATGACTGCATACGCGACGACAGATTTAATGCGTTAAACCAATTTATGGGTCGGCGTCTTATCAGGGAAACTGTGGATGAATTCCTGGCTGAAATGCATCGTTTACACGGCTAGTAGGAGAACCGCTACCTGATCGATTGGATGGCATGTGCATTTGTGTCAGGACTGCCACATCATGTAAGGCAGCTTCAAATCTTCTTCCAGGATGGACGACATGAATCTAGAACAGATTCTGACCCGAGCAAGGGCTATTATGACAGATGACGAAGAGTGCCAGGTATTGGCCGCCGCATCTGTAGAGCTAACGCGCTCAGAAGCTGAGGTTCCCCCTGACAAACCTGTTAGCAGAACGATTACCTGCTACAAGTGCTCTGGACCCAACCATATGGCGAAGAATTGTACACAAGGACGTCAGGAGAGGTCAAACAGAACATGAGGTCTGGTCGCGACAAGCGGTGTTTTCGATGCTGCGGCATTGGACACATTTCCTCAGAATGCCAGGGAAGCGCCCAGGGGAGAAGGCGTCAGCGCCAGCCTTCTCCCGAGCAAGTAAAAACCCGGAAGTTACCCACCGAGGCAAGTATTTGTAGATGGAGTAGAGTGCACAGCTCTAGTGGATTCGGGATGCTCACAGACGTTGGTGAGCAAGACTGTGTGTCGCTGCTGGAAGCAGGAAGAGGTGGGAGTGTTGACTGCCGACGGGGAAGACCCTGAAGTGCCATGGATACGGTAAAAATTAAGTTGGGCGTCGAGCAGATTCAGCTCGTGACTGTTGAGGTTCTGGTCGTGGAAGGGCAGTTGCTGGGATTCGATCTTCTTCACCGGGATTGATGCAATCAAAGTGCTCGGAGGTGTTTACTTGACCGGAATCAGGCGAAGCTCGCTTCGGAAACCTGAACACATGTGCCGCCATTGTTATCAACAAGCCTGACTTTAGAGTGACGTTTAACCCAAGCACGAAAAACGTGGACTGCATTGTGGAAGTGGGCGAGTGGTTATTCACCCAGCAAGTTGGTCAATAAAGTACAGGAGTACACAGTACCTGGCCACGTCCGGGATGCATACGATGAAGAACTAGCATGGTGGCAGGAGACGGATGGCTACTGCCATAT